GACTATCAGTGCTTTGATCTAGACTTAGATCCTTCCTCAGGTGCCTTCCAGTTCGTAAATCATGTAGTATCATCAGTTTTATGAAGGCTATAAGAAGAAATTCCATATTAGATCCTCTACTTGCTATTAAACCAGTTGAATTTAAATTAAAATAGTCTTAGTTAAAAATCATTTAGATACATTATCTTAAAGGGGCTTCTGGGGCAATATTACTTTTCAAAAAGACTTGCACTACTCTGACAGTACTTTTATAACATTAGAAGTTAGTGGGATGGCACTAATCTGAAGTTCAGTGCTCAAGCAGGCCTGAGAAATGGAAGATGGTATGACCCACCAGGCAAAGGGGCAGGAGAAAAGAGTTTGGGGAACAAATCCTATATGGGTTTGTTGGTTTTTTTTTTTTTTTTGTTGGGTTTTGGTTTTTTTCCTTTTGTACAAACTACTTTTATGCTTTAGGGTCTTTCAATTGCTGTGTGAGCCTACAACATACAGCTTGGGGACCACATGCATTATTGAACAAATGTTAATTGTGGGATGTTGGTGGAGTAATCTGCCGTTGATAAAACACTCTTGAGAGCACCTGTCCCTCTCCTATGTTGTGAAGACGTGTGGGGCTTGGGCCAGCTGGAGAAGCTTGACTGGATAAAATCAAAATCGCTTTTTGTGAATATTCTCACCTGGGTGTCCTGAAACAGCCTTGTCCAGAAAAATTAAGGTTAAATACAGCTGCTCTTTAAGGACTGAGGTTAATTGCATCTGTTTTTGTTCAATTCACAGAAGACAGCGGCACTGAAAATGTAATTTTTAAAGGCATAATTTTGGGTGGTTTTGGTTAGCATTTGATTTTTATTTTTTTTTTCTCCACTGGGACAATGCTTCTTTGGCTTTACAGTACAACTGAGTCCCTGGGAGGAGACCTGGATATTTTTCTGTGTATTCAAGAGAGAAGAAACCTCTTCTGTGTAGTGTAGTCTGAAAATAGAAATTGTGAACTTGTGTATTGACTCAGGAAGGCTTTTGTTGTTGTTTTTAACATGTCAGATGCTTTTCAGTTTTGTTCATCAACAAAATTGTTTTGCACCTTCTCAAGCCGCAAGATATTTTTGCTTCTGTCCTGATATAAAAATACAACCAACTGGAGATTCTCCAAAGTTAACAGTAAATTTCATTGAGGAGCCTGTATGTAAAATTATGATTTAGAAAGAACTGTAATCTTAGCTGCAGGTCAAAGACAGAATTTAAGTATATTATTTAAATGTAAGTTCATCTTGAAAAGCAGTGAATTGAAAGTGACACCTTCTTGCTCAAAAGTTCTGCCCTTTTTGCGCTAAAAGATTTGACTATTGCAAGAGCTCTGTAAAACCAACACAGCTGGGCTCTCTTCCTTCTCTCTCTTTCTTCAGACATTTCAAGTATACTTAGACAGGCTGCTCTCATTTGCATGTATAACTGGCAAAATTTACACAAATGGAGTTATATATAAAACCACTTTTGGCCAATAAAGAAGTGGCACTGGTGGCAATAAATGGGAAGAAAGTAGTCCAATTTAACTTTCAGATTCTGTGCTCTGAGTTTGCCGCCATGTATGCCATGAGCAGACTGAGTCTGTAGACCAGTTGTACGTAGTGGGACCTGCCACTCCCCATTACTACAGCTGATTTTCATAAACTGACTTCTGTTTCCTTTATTGAGAAAATTACATTGATTTCTTTCTGTAAGTGGAAGTCCCTCCCTGCCTGAGTGTGCTGGGACTCAACCACTGACCAAGCTTTGGCATGAGTGAACGCTGTCTGCCTAGCCCTGGCAGATCAATCTTTTTCCCCACCCACGCATACGAAAGTCCCTACACACTTTTCCTCTCTGCCTGCTGTGTATAGGCACTTATTCCTTTGAAGATTAGAAAATTACCTTTTCCAAGTCCGTAGCGATAAATGCGTTGAAGACAAAGATACTGCTTCCTTAGTCCTGACTTTAAATATCACAGGCTTGTGTGCTAGGCCACAGTTGCTGCTGCCTAGTCACTTTTAGGCAGCTAGTGCATTTCCTCAGGCTTGCACTGTGCTTGTAACAAAGCCATTGACAACTAGTGCCATAACATCAGCAGCACTAAGAAGAGGCTTTTTGTCTTGGAGGAGAAAAAAAATAAACAAACCTGCATTTGCCAAGAGTCACGGGGCAGTGGAAAGGGACATCTGGAGCCAGTTTCCTTCAGTGTTGGATCAGATCAGCCATGACTTTATCTGGCTGTGTCCTGGAAACCTCTGTGAGAGGATATTACAAAGCTTCTCTGGGTAACCTCTTCTGGTGCTGCATTGCCCTCCTAGTGAAGAAGTTTTTCCCAATATGGAACCTGAACCTGGGCAGCGCTTGACTCCATCACTGCCTTCCAGCATGCTTGATGAAATCAGACCAGTTCCCTTGACCTCTCCTTGCAGAACTGTGCCCAAGACCCCCAACCATCCTGCACACTGTCTGCTTGAACCTCTCTGGTTTCTCTTCATCTCTCTTGAACTGAGAGATCCAGAGCTGGACATCCTATTCCAGTGAAGCCTCACCAGCTTAAATACAGGAGGTTAATAATATTTTCTTTTTCTTTTTTTCATTTTCTTTGCACTGACCCCATTTTTAGTGAGCCCTGTTATCAACTTTGCCATAGTTACACAGAGAGGACACCACTGGCTTGTATCGAGCCTGGTGCCCCTTGTTGCCCTTTTGGAAGGACATCTACCTCAGCCCTACTGTCCCAGGCCCTGATGGTCCACAGGGTTGTCCTGCCCTGGGTGCAGTACTCTTAAGTTTCTCGTTGCTGCACTTCAAGAGGTTGCTTCTCCCCTGTCCTGGAGTTTATAGGGCCTCTGGAACGAGGGTCTGCCATCTTAGCCATACCACTGGTTTAGTGTTGTGCGCAGGATTGCAGAGGGTGTGCGCTGTATCATCACCCATTGCATCTGCATGAAAAGGTTTAAATAAAAAGGTCAGTGTTATACTTTGTACCTTTAAGTGCTGTGTTTTTGCAGCCACAAATTGCACTGATGGTAATGTAAATTTTCAGATAGTCGACTAATTATAAAAGCAAGAGCTCAGAGCATTCTGGAGGAAAGATTTTAGGGGATTTAGAGGGTGATTGTCAAGAATTTGTGGAGAGGGTTTTCACAGAAAATTTATTAAATTATCCAGACTTCTGGGTTTGATCTACTTTCCTGTTTTTACTTTTTCTGTTTATTACTGTTTATTCTGTTGTTCTTGATTGCCATAGTTACAAACCTGAAGTAGTTCCTGGGAAGGAAAATCTCCAATTAAGTCTTCGAGCTGTTTTAAGGTGAAAATGGTGAAAGTTTGTGATGAAATAGGTAGATAAGAATAATACACTGCTGTCAGATTAGGGAATTAAAATGTATTTTCAAATAATACACTTCATAGATACAGTTTATTTAGTAGAACATGTTCTTTCTCACAGATATATTTCATATGCAAAGTAACATGGAAGGTGCAAAAAAAGAAAAGTTAACTCATACTGAAAAGGCTGCAAGTTTCTGAATGATTGAGGCAGTAGCAAGTAATGTTTTGAAAACCTACTGGTTTGGAAAGCTCTTCCTTTTGCCCCTCTGCAGATAATGGCGAAGATAATGATAAAAACCTTTCTTTGCCCCTGAGGTCTTTGTGTGCCTCAGCTGTGGTCACAGTTTTAGTACTAACAAGTTCTAAAATGCTCGTACATTAGGCCCAGTGTTAGAGATACGCGGCTGCCCACTTGCACAATCGGCCATTTCTATGGAAATCAATCGATGGCAAATTGTATTTTCAAAACTGACCCCCTTTCTCTTTAATTTGCTCCAGACAGAAGGTAATTTCTTTTCACATTTTGAATAAAGGGAACATCTGCCCCAGAATGAGGACGTGATTACAAGCGATTTTAGACCATTTTTACAGCCTTTTTTTTAAAAGGCACGGAAATGGATTTCTGGATGTGAAAGTATTTCTGGCCGAGAAGGCTTGAAGCATGTTCAGAGATGTTTTGTGAAGTGTACAGTACAGGCTAGAAGGGCTTCTCTAAGGAATGAAGGGGATAGAGGTTGTCCAATCTTCCAGCTGGCAGCGAGGAATATACCAGATAGGTGCTCTCTATTTTTCTGCGATGAAGGGCTTGCTTCCCTAATTCCCCTCCTCCAAGAAAGAATGAGAAGACAGACATAAGAATTTCATACGTGTGTCATGTTATATCTTTGATAGAAATACGGTGATGTAGAAATAAATTTCATCCCATGCAGTCTTTCATGCCATATTTGAAGGGATTCTTTTGGTTGTCATGTGCAGAAGCAGTTTTAAAATTGCAGGAGAAATCTTTGCTGAGGAATCAGCATGGTTAATCAGAAATGTTTGTTGCTCAAGGAGTTGCTGGTACCCAAGATACTCTGTTGGGGCAGTATATTGGGCAGTCTGTTCTCCGTGAAAGAGCAGAGGCTGCTGTCCTGTGTAGCAGCCCCCACCAGTGTATAATGCTCACAGGAAGGAGGATTCACTATTATCCCAGCCGGGACTTGCTGTTCAAAGCAAATGAGCTCTGACAGTGACGTTCTGTAAGATTTGTAGAAGGAAAGAGCAGAGTCAGACTTTTGGTCAGATACTGACTTTTGTATCTCAGATACATTCCAAGTTTAAAAATGAAGGTTTTGAACAGTTATTTCTATGTTTGGCCCTTAGCAACAACTTTCTGATCATGTTGGCAAAAGGAAAACCAGTGCAGCAATGACAAAGGCTGATTTTAAGTGGCATTCCAATGATCTGGGTAGCTTTCCTCTGGCAAGTCTTTCACATTTAGTAGATACCGTCAAGGCTAATGCTTCTTTTGGTGTTGCTCTGTCACTTTGGTAATGCTGGTTCTTTTTTCCAACATTTTTTCTCCTTTCATCTTTAAAGGGGAAAATAATATGGAGCAGGTTCACATTCACTGGAAAAACATTGTCCTTCTCCCTCCTGCACCCTCCCTGCCATGGTCAAGCTCACCCTACTGCTATGTCAGGGATAATGCTGTCGGCATCCTGTGAGGCAAGTGGGACCTGAGGAAGAGAAGTTCTTCCACCATAGGCAGTCCCATCATGTGGCACGAGGCTTAAAATGGGACATAGTTTGATAACCTTTTTCAGGTGTGTTTTCTCACGAAACTCTTCTGCAGCAAAGTAATAAAAGATGGCATCCAGGCAGCAGTTCAGGTTGGCAAGTATCATTGACACCTGAATGAAGAGGCTGATGGTTTGTTTCAGACTGCAGTCCTCTATCACGTGATATTTTACCAGGCACTGTAGGCAGATCGCAAGGTGGATGGGTGTGAAGCACACCAAAAACACCACGAGGTTGATGATAATGACTCGTAAGGAGCCACTGCCTTCTACCTTCTTTTTAGCTTGACTTTTGTGATTCAGAAGAATCACGATGTTTTGGGCAGAGCAGAAAACCATCACTACGAGTGGGATCAGAAATCCAACGACTTCCACAGAAACAATGACAGGGATGCTCCATGCCTTTTCTGACATGTTGTAAAAGCATTTAATATAATTTGTCTTGGGAAAAGCATACATTTGGATGCTGCAAAGCCAAGTTACTGTCCATATGATGAAGCAAATCAAGATAGCCCATTTGGGGGATTGGTTAGCTCGACCTTCAAATGGGTGCTTTATGCAGATATATCTGTCGACAGTAATGCAGACGGTGATGAAGATACTGCCATACATGTTGATGAAATAGAGAGACTCTATGAATGAGCACAGGAGTTCGGGCGCTTCTGTGCTAGAGTAGTACAGCTTGAGTGGGAGTGAGAGAAGCAGCAAGACATCTGCAAGTGCGAGATTGATCATGTAAACTGAGGTTTTGGTCTGTTTCTTCCAAAAACAGCAGAACACGGAGAGGGCCAGGGCGTTAAGAACCAGCCCAAGAGTGAAGGTGGGGATGGAGATCCCCAGCCGCAGGGTTTCTGCTAATCTGTCGATGTCTGTAAAATTGCATTCCTTGCTGCTGTTGGTCATTTCTCCCCTAAAATGACAGAGAGAACAGGTTGGAAATGTGTAACGCTCCCAGTTAATGCCTTGATATATCAGAGCAAGATACTTTCAAACACAACTCTGGGCTTTTTTTGTTTTGAGGCATACACTTAATCAGTCTTTGGTTATTATTGGAAGCAAATCCTCATTTCAAGCACAGAGCTTTCTATTTTCAATTTGAGTGGATTGATCTGTTATAAAGGAGCCTGATTCCCAGTGGCAGGTAGTCGGCATCCACTAACTACCATGCCCTTTAAGATAATCCGATTCAGATATTGAAGAGACTGACCCATTCAAACATATGTTTTCAAAACCTAAACCAGTGCACTGAAGTGCACTGGCTATCTCTAGTAACTTGTACATCTAGTGAAACTTCTGTAACACGTTCGGTTCCTTCGCTACACAGAAATTCATGAAATTATTCTTCCATATTAAGGCAGGTCATACTGATAGCTGGGATTTTACTTTTATATCGATGAATCCCTATACATTAGTAGTTTTTGCTGATGTGCTTTTACTGCACCTGCATTTATATGGATGCTTTAATTTCATATAGTGCTTGTATCCAATGCAGTTTTTTAGAAGGTCAGCTTAAGAAGACTGATCTTTTATCTAGGTGCAAATTGAGTAAGCGCCTTTTCTAGCTTGTGTTTAACATTCAGCATTGGTTAAAAACTGGGTTTGCAAGTACTTTAAATTTTAACTGATTATCTTAGATAATCTGGCAAAGATTAGCAAATGGAAGGCATGACATGTTAATAATGCAGTTCTTTACAAAAGTATAATTTATATGGAATAAGTGTTATCACCATTCTTAAAAATATACATGTACTTTAACTAACTGTGCCTTAAAACTGCTTTTTGATAACCTCTTTAAATAAAAATCACAAAAAAATCCTAAAGAAGGGGAAGAAATTAGTAGTTAAAGTTTCCGGTCCCGCTCAGCCAAACAAGTAGCTCAAAAGAAATGTTAGGAGTAAGTGAAGAGGTTTTAAGAAGAACTTGATTAAGAGGTGAATCTCTGCTTTGGAGGACAAAAAGTGACAGGTAGTTCATAAGGACAATCAAATGGAACTGGACTTTGCTAAAGAAACCAAATAACAATTAGAGAAAGAGTTTTTGTTTACATGGCTGAAACAAAATACAAAAAAGAGAGAGAGAAATGGAGAACAAGTAGAACTGCTAATTTTAACTGAGGAGATGGCCTTGGGTTTTGCCAGATCTTATACCTCTGCTTTCACAGAGGTGTGCTGGTGATGGGGTGACTTACAGGAATCAGTGAGTGATAATGGAAATAACTGTATCTGAACATAGAATGCACTTAGAGCATAATTCGCCTGTATTAGGGAAAACAGTATATTTCCAGCTCAGACTATGGAAAGAAGAGGCACAAAAAGCTGAAGGTTTGACCCAGTAATTGTTATGAAGTATGTATTTTATTAGTGTGTCTGGAAAAGGATCAATCTAGTCTATCTGTTG